AAAGAGCAGCTGAGTGGTATCAAAAAGCAGCTGAACAAGGTGATGCTAATGCACAAAATAATCTTGGTAATTGTTATCAGTTTGGAATTGGAGTGGAAAAGGATGAACAGAAGGCAGTTGAATGGTATCAAAAGGCAGCTGAACAAGGACATGCTACTGCACAAAATAATCTTGGATGTTGTTATTATTTTGGAACTGGAGTAGAAAAGGATGAACAAAAGGCAGCTGGATGGTATCAAAAGGCAGCTGAACAAGAACATGTTGATGCACAAAATAATCTTGGTCTTTACTATCAAAGTAGTCTTAGATTACAAATAAATTATCAAAAAGCTTTTGAATTATTTCAGAAATCTGCTGAGGATGGAGATTCTTATGGACAATATAACCTTGGTCAGCACTATGAGAAGGGGCTTGGAGTAAACAGAAATCTTGAAAAAGCAATTGAACTGTATAAAAAAGCAGTCAGTCAAGGAAATGCTGTTGCACAAACACGTCTTGGTATATGTTACAAAAATGGAATTGGAGTTGGAGAAGATATTCAACAATCCATTGAATTGTTCCAAAAAGCAGCTGAGCAAGGGCATGCATATGGTCAATATAATCTTGGTTACTGTTATGAAAATGGAGTTGGAATAGAACATAATGAACACAAAGCAATTGAGCTATATCAAAAGGCAGCTGAACAGGGATACATTAAAGCACAAAATAAGATTTATATTTTACAATATGATGATAAATTCAAGTTAAAAAGTAAAGTTCAAGAATTGAATAAACTGTATCCAAGCAAAAAAGGCAATACAAAATAAGGAATTAAGTATCATGAGTTAAAGTGAGGTTGTTGGGAATTTCAATCTTTGTCATTTATTCTAAATGGCAAAGACTAAAGGTTGGCAATTCATTATCAATAAATAAGCCTGAGGTAGATAATGTATATTCCTTCTCACATTTCTGTGTGGAGTACTGCCCTTTATCAAAAAATGTAACAGCATACAGCAGTGATGATGCAAGTCGTTATTATAATAACAGTCATATTTAGACGATGCACTTTCTGCTACGATCGGTGTGTCATTTTTCCAAGTTTTTATTTCATATTATCATTAATAAATGGATAGCCCCTTTATAATCAGAACATATGCAATTGATATTATTATTCGATATTTCCAAGAAACCATATACAGTCGACACTCCCTAAATGCACACCTCAGGACTGAGAGTTTGGAACCGTGCATTTAGAGAACAATGCAAAATTGTGCACTTACAGAGTGGTAACCCACATTCACGTGATACTATTATTATTATTCATGTAATTTTCGCCATATACTTATACGATACTAATACATTCTTGCTTCTGGACGTTATAATTTATTTAAGTATTGATCAATACTTGACTGCCGCATTGCATTAGCCTTCTTTTCTCTAATATACTTCTCTAAAATATTGCATATCTCAAATACTTATTTGCATTTTCTTGTTGAATTAAGAATGTTTGCACTGTTTCCAGAGCTTTTGATGCCGCACTTGCACTGATAATTGCTACTTCGGTACTATCATCTGCATTTTCCACATTATTACTGATGCTCGAACGAAACATGGCCTGACATCCAAGTCGTACTGCAAACATAACAGCTAATTATAATGGTCTTGTGTTAACATTAAGTTTAACGTTTAAGAATTGAATGTTACAAAAACCCGCCAATTATAGTTCTACCTGATGTATGACAGTAACAATTTTTGCTTACCAAATTTTACCATAAGATCACGTGTGTGCATTTAAGTACTAAGTCCCGAGGTTGGGACCACATTTAGAGAGTGCGTGCATTTAGGGAGTGTGCATTTAGGGAGTGCCGACTGTATTAGGAGTACTTACTTTTTGTCTTGTGTTTACTCTTGTGGTATTACAATAAATATTCGTTCAAGTAGAAACGCGTTTATTATACGTGGGGTGACTGAAAAGTTCTGATCGTGGACATTTATCTCAACAACTGCCCAACGTATTTAAAAAAAGACTATAGTTGCATGCCTGAGGGTTTCAGTGGACAGCTGAAAAATAAGTTGGCATGAATTGACCAGGTAATTGTCGAGTTATGTACATTTGTCGATGGTATCCTAAAATAATTGGAAGATAACCATGGTTAGCAAGAATGGAAATTTCTAATTCGTCATAGAATTAGAAACGGCACCGATAGTTTCTCTGAACACGCCATATAACAACCCTCATGACTTGCAAAATTTATCGTAATCCGATGTCTGCAGCAAATGTTTCAAACACCCGACATTTGATTTTAGAATACTGCAAATTTCATATGCATTATAACATTAATATAATCTTTATAAATTCCTATCTCGTTGTTTAAACAATCTTTAGGAACTGCATAGAGCTGCATGGATTCGTGGTATTCGATCGGAACGTAATGTTAAAAATTTTAATCACGTGATTTTATTTATGGCAATGATCACATCGCAAATCTCTAACGGTGGTTTAGAAAAAAGATTGCAATAATTGCATAGAAGACTGGGAGAAATGAATTTTTGAAAATTACGTTTAAATCGTTTTTTTCCCAATCGTTTTAGTGTACCGTGAAAAAATGGATGCTACTCAACAACTAGCATGTCAACTCGCACCAACTTTTTTTTTCACTTGTTCCCAAAAACCTCAAGCTTTGAATCTTTAGGTAAGACCAGCACTTGTCAAGATAAAAATCCACAATCAGAACTTTTCAGCCACCCACATAATTATAACTCACCCGACCGAAATTAATCCCGTCGGTAAAGAATAGGGTTCAAAGACAGATATTTATCGAGAAGTAGGAGACGCCACTGAAAAATAGTTAAATCCCAAGAGTTTAACGATCAATTGTTCTCTAGTGATTGTTGACGCGACAAAAGCTTATAATAACATTCACTGAACTTCAATTATTGCTCTTTCAAAATTCTGCGAAAAACAACAAAAATAAGTTTGCAAGCTAGTGACTACTAAGTGTTGTGAATAAGTATACTTAGTACAATGTTGCCGCTTTACTTAGTGTAACAGATAACCGTGTCCGATTATAATCAATATGAACATATTAATTTGCTAGTTCACATTTATCGTGTGAAATGGCATGACGCACAATTATTTCGAATCATAATTATTCTTTCCGCTGTAACCAGTTGCTGCCTCTATAATCTCCTTTGCTTCTAGATAATTCTTTAAGACCTATAAGGCTAGCGACGTTGCTCGCTTCAGCACTAATTGATCCTACATTAATAGTAAGTTGTTGATATATGTTAAAAGCTAAAATTAAAACCCTTACAGTTTTCGCAACTATTTAGTTTCTGTGCCAAACTTAGTCTTTGTATTTCTCGCTATGCCAGTATTGTAATCATTCTCAAATGTAAGGATGACAGATTTGGGCAGGTAAGTAAGTTAAAGGGGAGGTAGGTGCTCATAAGCTCTTGCCAAATAAGTGAAAAGATTTATTATTGCTTGATAAATTGTACAATACGATTGTAGCAGAAACAATAATATAAATACGCGATTACTGTTTATGGTACCCCCCTATGTTGAGGGCGAATTACCTCCCTACCTCTACATATAGTGATTGCTAAATTTAGCAACTTCGATCGCCAAATCTGATAGCTAATGACAATCATAAACTTTATTCTAAGATCGGATTCTTGTAACGAGGACGTACTGGTTAAAAGGTTAATTCATGTTTATTCATTGTAGTACTTTTTTTCTTTTCACTTGGATATCCGTAGTCAACTTTAGACATATGTAATTGGTTCATATATTAATATATATAACATATTTAAATTTACATTGAAAAAATTGATCGGGATATGGAAATACATTTAAGGAAACCAGTTGTCATCATAACCTCAGCCCTTCCGCGGTTCAGCGGGAGGAGAAAAAAATAGTAAGGGAGGTTACTGTCAACCTCCACAAATACACACAGTTTCCTCTCTACATGCACGCTCGTGATATGTATGCAATTTGTCCTATTTTCTTGATAATAATCCTGAGGAAGAAAAATGCCTGACAATGACTCATTGGTCGAAGTGCCTATTAAAATATATAACTGTTAAATGCCTGTATTGATGATGGTGATATCGATGATAGTCTTGAGCCACTGATAGTTAATGCTCATTTCTGAAAACTTTAAAGAATTACCAAACATATGAGGTGTACTAGTACATTGGGTTTAAAGTCGGTGAATGTAATGAAGCAAGCGACGATAGATGAATATTTGAGCATTTAGATAAACATATTACGATCGTCACTTTCACGTAAACAAACCCAATAAAATGTTGACCCTAGATTCGTCCCCGAGGGCGTGCATTTATAGAAGGATATGCATCTTATTACACATATTAATATGCTTGTTGAAAATTTGGTTATATTCAATATGAGAGTTACTATGAAAATTGGGGTTGTTTATATCCTACAAACCAAAACATCCAATTCAATTTCGCATTTTATATGAATCATTAATCCCACCATGAGAGGTGTTAGTCAATAAAGCTATTACAATGGTTTTAGTGTGTTGATAGAGAAGCTTGTAATACTTTGCAATGGGAGCTACTAATACTGTTATTATCACTGTTATTGTCACCGTTGGGGAACATATTCTTTACGGCGTATCATTGGTCGATCTTATGAATCTTCATTATAATGCCAGTTTAGAGTTGCTGTAACGTGACACATTGGCACAGCAACAGTTCAAAGACACATCTCTCAGTCCCAAATCTCCACACCCGGAATTCTCGGACCTTTTTTTTTTTCCAATATATCAAACTCTATTCGACTTTCTTGGTTTACTTACATGCTTGCTACTGTATTGTATTTTGCCAACAACTTCTCAGCCGCCACCTACTTCTGTCTTTAACTCTTCACTAATATTTAGAAATACATGCGCAGCAAAAATATAGATACATATATAGACATTCACTTTTAATTATAATACCCGTTGCTGTAACAACCCGGCGCATACTTTCTATCAGAAAATAATTCACATAAAATGGGACGAAAGGATTTTATCGAAGATGTCAGAAAGCTCAAAGAATACTTTCGCGGTTTAAACTTAAAAGCAGGCTCTTTAGTGAGGGGTAAGCCAATTTATTGTTTCGACCATTTCCCAAGCAATTATCTGCCCATACACTTTTTATTAACAAACAGTCTGAACATCAAAGGATTCGACTTCCAGGATCCGGAGTTGAGCTTTCGATTCACGCCTAAATCAGGAAGACCGTTTACTGTTAAATTCTACGTTAACGGTAATGATACGGCATAATGAATGAATCGTGTCTAGTATCTCTTTTGCATTATTGTTGCTGTGCCCTTCTCGCTCCCTTTAACTAATGGCAGTTGGAAACGCAAACATTAACATTCAATTCAATCATTATCGATTAAATCTATGCGCAAATTATTTGCTTGTTCCATATCAAGACAACTCTCTGACATCGTACCCAGCGAAATTCAGCGGATTTTTGTGTGTGGACGACGCAAATGATACAGCAAGTGCCGCTGCTGGTAATAATTAAAATAACTTGGCGATACGTTCAGATGTGCCATATACTCACACAACGTTATTTACTCATTTTACGCAGCACGTTTACAGGACGTAAAGATTCAAGACAACCCCGTTTCCTTGATTGTTGCCACTCTTGTAAAGGAACTCTGCGATCTATTCAAAATGCAAGTGCCCAAGGATCTCCAAGTAAATGCATTAAAAAGGTTCGCGCAAACACAGCCAACGTTACAACCAACTCCATCTGTGACGGCATCGGCGTCGACGGCGACATCAAAAACGGCCTTTACTCCTGCTACCACCTTGGCGAGAGATATCTTGGAGGCTCGACATTTTAAGTAAGATTAATTTTAATCGATACCTTCCTCCTCCAGAAAAGCAATGTGATGAACATTAATGCAATTATTTACATGTAGCTATCATGCAGAGTTACTTTGCGCAGATGAAATTGGATTCAAGGTAGTCGTTTCGATTCCAGTCTCTAGACTTGGCCTGAGCTTTGAAGCTTATGAAGCATGGAATCTTATTCCTACGCGGTTGGTAGTCAAATCATGCATTTTATAACACACCGTTAATAATATCATCCGATTATAACTTTGAATAATTTCCATCCAATCATTCACAATCAAATTATAGTCATATAGTATGCACGATACAATTCTCACCCAACTATATTAACTTGCAAGAAACAATAACCAATGCACTCAGCAAGAAGGCTTACTTAATAGGCGAGCGTGGATTTATAGACATCAAGGAGGAACTAAAGAAACAATTTCCAGCACAGTTCACTATAGTCACCTCGGAATGTCCGCGAGGCATGGCTGCTCAAATACACAATAAAGATGACATACCTGAAAACGATCACTTTATTCTATCATGGACACTAACCGAGTTGCTACGTAGCAAATTCTTCGACATGTTATGTGATCGCGTTTGGTTTGGGCTAGGATGGGCTGGTGCCGAATATGCAGACATGAAACGCAACAAGCAACATTTGACTGATTTTTTGAATCAAGAAAACTACAACTTTGACGAATGCATAGATGAATGCCTGCTTCAGGATCAAGAACAACATCAACAATTATGTCATCTTGATGAAGAAGAAGTGGAAGAAGCAACTGCATCCACCAACCGCAATTTCCTTCTTCTAGTACTCAGATATTTGCGGCAACGTATTCTATTATCGACCAAATATTGTTTGACATGTCATTACCCTCATACGGAATCTATCTCATCCATCAGACCATTCGTATGTGGGGCGGCGTTATGTCAACATCAAGCACTCGTTGGTCTGGGAAATCTTTTTGAAGCCGCTCTAGTGAATAGTCCCGTAGTAGTGGATCTATTAATATCACTCTGCTATGTAGCCGTATCATCGAATAACTTGAATTCCTTTCCGTCCAAGGCAATCGGAGCTACTATTTCAACAAAGAGTACAGTTGAAAACTCACTCTACGTCGAGTGGAGCGACACACAGGGTGTAATCGGTGGTTCTACAGAAAGAGGATATGAAGCATACGGTTGGAGGACATTTGATAATCAAGTGCAAGTGAACGACCTGTTGGAAATTTACAATCCGGAATCTGATCAACCGTTTGCGCTGAATAGATGCAGTTCCACGTCTGCAGTACGAGTTTTGGAGGTGCACCCTCATTGTCTGGTTCTCGACTTTCAAGTTGTTATTCCTTCGACACTTGCGCCGAGTAAACCAGTCTATTTGCCGTTCAGAGTGTGTCGCCGAGAAGAGCTTAACTTTCTCTATGATGACGGACGAGCTAATTACGAGCTATTAAGAGAGAAACTTAATTTGCTGCCACCAGTCAATGAAATGGTGCATTTCGCTCAGAAGAATTCGTTAAAGGCAGATTTGGACAAGATCGATCCTCTATGCTTTCCTTTACTATCGTGGATTATATCATCTAATAGGACTCACCTTCGCCTGTTAGAATCTGACGAAGAAAAAGTGCAGTATAATGATCGTAATAATGCATACAGCAATTGGAAACAGTTTGTTATGATTATGAGCTCGCCTGAAAAAGAGGAGATATTTCAGCAGGAAAAACAAAGATTGAGAGATGAGAGGCGAGGACAAAGTAAGTAATATAAGGAGAATATGTACAATGACAAATAGGGTCGATAATCTCATGCCAATATTAATAATGCAACTTGTATTATGCTTTACAGCGCTTGGTGAACTGTTTGCATTCCACGGCTCTCCGTTGACTAATTGGCATTCCATTATTAGGTAACCATAATTATAGTTTGTTGTCAGAACGTTTTTCAGTTCCGTTAATACTAAAACCAATCACTTTTCATTCATTAGAACATCTCTTAATTACAATAAAGTAACACATGGAAGAGCGTTTGGCGATGGTGTATATCACTCACTCCAAGCAGCGACTTCCGCATCATACGCTCACAATAATTACTATGGGAGAAGTGAGAACGGGAGCTGGAAAAATTCCTTACTTGTCGTCCAAAAATGTATGGCACTGTGCGAGATAGTAAACCGACCAACACAATTCATAAGGTTAGTTACAAGTGTTTGAGAAATATTGTCATATTCTATTCACTATGACTAGAATTATTTATTAATTTGATGTTTTCCTTTACCCTTCTTAAATTTAGCACAAGTCCTCATCTCGTAGTCAAAGATGAATCATGGATAACAACACGCTACTTGTTTGTAGATTGTCAACGAGATCCCTATGAGCAGCAATTCTCAGATGATGATGATACCACGTGGACCACGCCTTTGACATCATTTTCACACTCGCTTTCTCAAATGGGACAGAAAAACCGCAAGCTGTCAGAGCGTATCACTCTTGATTCCCATTATTGCCCCGTGTGGCTGAACAATCAGGCTCTCCAAATTCCCAAACGTGACTTTGCTATAATTTCAATCATTTCGCCGACGAATAGCAGTTCTAGAAAAAGACAATTTCAATATGATCAAAGTACACTGCTGACTGCAGCTGGTGTTACGGGACATGAACCCAGTGGGTTAATGTTTGATGGAATTGATGGTGATACCGATTCAAGTGGTTCTGAGGAAGAATATTCAGATGCTGCCATATCCCCAAACACAAAGAAAGGAAAAGGCAAAGCTAAACAAGAGAGTGATGACGATGAGGACGACTACGATGATGAGAACTACGATGATATGGATTCCGATGCCTTTGTAGACACTATGGATTACGACGATGATGTGTACTTTAGAGACGAACCGCCAGCAAGGTCCGAAATACCAGTGATCGAAATAGAAGGTGAGACTTGGCGTGAGAAAAGTTGGTCAAAGTTATAGTGTATCGATTAATAATTGTTGTTTTTTTTGCATTCTAAAATGTAGACGATGGATTTGATCCAACCTTGCTACCTCTTCCTGGTATGTATATAAAAATTGCTAGATATATCAATGAGAACAACAAACACGATTATCCAGATCACTTGTATTAATATCTTATTTTTGCTGCATGCAGAGGAGTCTTCAATAACCGCTACCCGTCGCATATGCCAAGAGTTAAGAGTGATTATCAACAAACAGGATGATGCATCAAACGACTGTGGTTTCTACGTAAATTTAGAGAAGCTTAAATCAGTTTATCAATGGGTATGTACCAAATTTCAAGTAATTCTATAAAAGGGCTAATTAAGTCTGCTTTTGCTAATTTTTGCTGTCTACTGCCTTTGAAATAGGTTGTCGAAATGCGCAACTTTGATCCTTCTATACCACTTGCTCAAGATATGATACGCCACAAGGTAAAGGCCATCGAGCTAGAAGTAAGATTTGCACCTCAATATCCATACTTGCCTCCGTAAGTGTCACTTTTTGACTTGTGTGTTTTCGTCTCGAATTGTGTCGATGCATTTTCAAGCTTTTATCAATCACTTAGGTATGTCCGAGTTATAAGGCCAAGGCTGCTGAGGTTCATGGACGGTGGTGGCGGACATGTAAGTTGCTTAATATTAACTGTCTATAAAGTTTATTCTGTCGTTAACCTTTGTGTCATCAACCTTAGGTAACTGCCGGTGGATCGATTTGTATGGATCTGCTGACGCTTGGCAATGGTCGTGAGTGCGGTTGGTCATCTGCATACACGATGGAAGCGGTTTTGTTACAAGTGAGTGGAAGAACATAGGATCTTTTCAACTATAGAGAATCGATCTAACACATGTCTTTTTTAGATTAAGCTGGCGTTAAGCTCTCTTGATCCACGACCAGCAAGACTTGATCGTCGCTGGCAAAAAGATTACAGTCCAAGCGTAAGTAGATATTGTCAAGATGGGATGTTAATTGTTGCAATTTTGTCAATTGATTACTGAAAATTATTTATTTTTTTTTTCTTCGACTTGACAGGAAGCAATTGACGCATATGTTCGCGTGGCTAACCAACATGGATGGCAGATTCCTGACCAGTGGCAACGATTGTTTGGCCATTAGCCATCGATATAATTGCTTTATATAATGTAGAACTCGCATAATGCTTATTTTTTTTTTATCTGTATATTGTTTCTATAAACATGTCTTCGGTTTTGTTGCATTCAAAAGGTTGTTACAGTGTTGAAAGAATGACAATAAAAGAAGTGCTGATGTAGCATATTTTCAAAAATTGGGGGTTTTTTAATGTTAATACTATATTAATATTAATATTTAAGCCAAATTTGGATAGGAGCGTCGTCTACGGAATTTCGCGGTAACCTCTTTAGTTATGACACGTTGGCTGATTACAAGACCCTTAATAGTTGAAGACGCATGCTATGGCGTCATGACTCACTAGGTAATAATAATCAAACAAAGAATTTATAATTGCTCCGCGCGAGTGGAGCTTTAAATGTCAATATTAATATATGAAATTCTAACAATTATATACATGTGACGCATTTTGTAGCTGAATCATGTGACTAAATATTTCATTATGAAGTACGTGCTCTCTTTGATTTCCTGGAAATGCTATATTGTGAACTCTCGTTTTCTTCGTCATCTGACGGCATATGTTGTTCTGGCATGCCGTATCCGGTTACATTTGCTTCATCGTATTTAGAAGTTTTCCTCTACAGTCATGAAAATCAGTCATATAAGGCAAATGTTGTTACAAGTAAACCAGACACAGTTACAATTACTCACAATAAATTCGATGGTTAATTCATCGCTTGCGCGAAGGTGCTCATCGATAACATTTGACCGTATGTGAATAGATTTTTGTTTCTGGATGAGTTATATCGGAGAAGAAAAAAACATTAATTGCGTATTAAGCTGTATAGACAAATCCATGTGTATTTCACCTTTTTCTCGACCAACAATTCTTCATTTATACGAGTTCTATCTTTTTCTTCTTGAATACGAAGAGAAGTCCAGAAATCTTGCGTGCGTCTCGCATTGAGATGGACGTCAAGAACAGCCAATAAAGATTGTGCCAAATTGTCTGCATTGTCATTTTCGGTGGAAAGACAAGCCAGGGATTGACGTAAAGCTTCTTCCGCGTCTGCCTTCATTGCATAGGTAAAATCGATCTTTTCAAAGAATTTGACGGCTGTAAAGCCTTCTGCCAACAACTCTCTTACAATGTCGATATAATCTTGCTGATATATTTTTTGCAAGGGAAGAAATATACAGATTTGTAAACAGTTAACAATGACAATAACAAGCAATTTCATAGGAGAGAATTTGATACTGACCGTACTAACTGGTAACATTATTATAGCCTATTACAAGAAATATGGTAAATAAGGTTTTTTACTGATAAAAGATACCAACTCGAAACCGCCTCAAGATAACACAAGATCATTATATCACCCAGAACGGTTACAAATATCAACTGCTTCAATGACAACACACAAAGGCAGACATATCGAAAGCAGACATGTCATCCTCAAGCTTTACAGGCCTCGAAGCACTGATATAAACATATGTCTATCATCACAGTACCTTATCTAAAAGTGAAAAAAAAAGACGCTAACAAAAATTCATCGAGACGTGTTTTTATACTACAAAAGGTAAATTGTGCGTCGGAAGGGAAATATATCAACGTTGATTAATGCGTACACTCATTAATGTGCACACGTTCTTTCATTATCATGATTCAACGCGAATGCATCGCTAAGATCTTGATCGGGTTAATAGATTTTGCCACGCGCTATGCTATAATTGGTCGATATTTACGCATACTAAAGCAAATGTTATTTCACGTATCACAGCATGTAGTATGTAAGACACTTTCTCACACATTATTGAATTCGTATGTCGAAAGAAGGAATTATCAATCGACTCTCTGATATTCACTCCATAAATCGGATTTCACTCTTAACTATATACAGTATATGTACCTTGCCAAATGTCAAAACAGTGTTTTAAATTTAACTTCTAAAATTCTCATTTTATGGCCTTGTAGTAGTTCACGTTACTTTATTCGTGTAAAATAATAACAATCTTAGCAAGTGACTCATGATATAAGAAAAAAATTTGTTGGGCCTAACCATTTTTTTTTTATTAATTATTAATATTAATATCACTACCAGTACGGTAACTGTTATTCATATGATTTTAATATCCTCTTATACTAATACTTATTACCATAATAACCTTCAATGTAATACTGTTAATCACATGTTTTTATTGACTGCTTTACTGCTTTACACCTTTTTCCTACCAATTCCATTTTTATAAAAATAGTCAAGTTTATTCTGTACATCAACATCTCCTTGTTCAGCTACCTTTTGATATAATTCAACTGTCTTTTCAACATCTTTCTCTACTCCAATTCCATCTCCATAGCAAACACCAAGATTATATTGTGCAGTACCATTTCCTTGTTCAGCAGCTTTTTGAAATAATTCAAATGCCTTCTTAGCATCTTTATCTACTTCAATTCCATATATATAACAATAACCAAGTTTATTCTGTGCATCAGCATGTCCTTGTTCAGCAGCTTTTTGATATAATTCAACTGCTTTCTTAGCATCTTTATCTACTCCAATTCCCTTTTCATAGCAAGCACCAAGACTATATTGTGCATCAACATCTCCTTGTTCAGCTACCTTTTGATATAATTCAACAGCCTTTTTGACATCTTTCTCTACTCCAATTCCATCTTCATAGCAAACACCAAGATTATATTGTGCAGTATTATTTCCTTGTTCAGCAGCTTTTTGAAATAATTCAACTGCCTTCTTAGCATCTTTATCTACTTCAATTCCATAACTATAGCAATAACCAAGTTTATTATGTACATCAACATGTCCTTGTTCAGCAGCTTTTTGATATAATTCAACCGCTTTCTTAGCATCTTTATCTACTCCAATTCCCTTTTCATAGCAAGCACCAAGATTATACAGTGCATCAGCATGTGTGAACGGCGATTTTGTAAAACGGCGATTTGATCATGTGATCGCTGCGGTACTGAGATAGAGTGATGATCATTTC